CCCGCACTTCTTAACAAGACCAGGACCTGGTCTGCAGGGCTCACCATAATAGCCCTCATGGGATTTATAACCTAAAAGTCTCTGCTCAGTCCAAGCTGGCAGTTTTTTTGCTTTCCCCTCAACTCACAACATTCCTTACGGCTCTCACATGCCATCAGTCATTCCTTTAGTGAACGCTGGCTCACATGTCCGCCTTGTGTTAGCATCATCATCACATACATATGCTACACTCACATGTATCCCAGCAGCCATCAACAGTCAACAATGAACATTTGGCTTTTTTGCCCCACTTTAAAGCTGCAGTAGATAACTTTAAAAAAAAAAATGTTTTGGTCATATTTGCTCAATGTTTCACTATATATCCTTACATATTACAGACAGATACAAAAGAAAAAATCAGGTTTCTCTGGCTCCTCCTAGTGCTCCTAATGGCAATTGGAAGAATCCACCGGGCCTGAACGAATACAACCAGTCAGAGCTGAGAAAGATAGAAAGACGCTCTGGGTTGGTGGCTTTAAGATAGGTGGTGCAGTCTCATTTCCAGTGTCGGTATTTGACAATTGGGGAATGATCAATGAACAATAACAACAGTCTTTATTGGCTCTGATTGGTTGCTTTCTTTCAGGCCCAGTAGATTCTGTTAGGAGCACTAGAAGGAGCCAGAGGAACCTGATGTTCTCAGAGATTATCTGTGGCTCCATGCTGTTAAAAAAATGTTAAATTTCATATTCACTTTCATTGTGTGTGAAGGTTCTTCCTCAACTTTGGAAGTAGGAGTTTTACAAAATATTCTTAGCACATACTAACTTATTAGATTTTCAACTTTTAAGCTTGCTAACTTTAAAGGTCCGCAAAAGCTACAAAGTTATTTTGTCAACCACTGGCAGCTGAAGTGAGTTGATGGAGACCAAAACAGAGCCAAAAGGAGAGGGAATATTGTAGTTTTAAATAAAATGTATTATTATTATTATTATTAGTTCAATTGGCCAGGTGGCCAAGAGCATGAGTCCAAATAATTGTATGCTGGATGTGTAAATAGTAAACTGGTAGCTAACTATGGCGTCATATTAGGGCCATTAGGTAAAATAAATAAATAAATAAATAATTACTAACCCGCGGGGGATTTAATATTACACATAAAAATTTAAGATAACATTTTAAAATGAGTGTAAAATGTTGTTAATAACTATTTAATATAAATGTTCCTGTTGTTTAAAATGAATGCAAAAGCCATGCATGGCGCACAATATTTAGTATCATATCATTCAAGTTTTTTATTTTAATCTTAGAGAAGTTAATTCTTGCAAATTTACGGACTTTTTGTCAGAATATTACCCCCCTCCCCTGCCTTCGTAATTTATTTATTTTTTAACCTACAATATGCCATCGTAGCTAACAACTAGGTACCTTAAAATCTCTGTAGGGTGAATGTATGTTACATGCTGTGCTTTTAGCTACTTTTGCTGCCATAAATAATGAATTAATCATGTAACCAATTAACACCCAGCACTTATTGTCTTGCTTCTCAGCTTGTAGTTTAACACTGGCTTTGTGCATTAGTGGCCCTCTGTTTGCACACTGTGTGGTTTTGGCTTATTTTTGCAGCCTAAGCCCTGTTATACACACGATCGAGCAGCAAGAGAGCCTTGAAAAAACATAGTGTCCCTGTTGCTGCTGTGCTCCAACAAACATAAGCCCTTCTTGTTCTTTGGAAGGTGTTGTTATCTCACACTGCACTCGCCTGTTTAGGTGGTCTGCTTTTTCACTTTTCATACAGCTGATTGTTCTCCAGCAGAGGCAGAAAGCAGGTCAAGTTAATGCTGCATTGCTCTGGATCAGTTTGTCTCACGGTGCCTCTGTGGCCCAGGCCTCTCCTCACCCACCTCCTCTTGCCATTTCCTGTTAAGCAGCAAGCAGCCTGGTCATTCCTGTTGTTCCTCACCCCTCTCCCTCGCTTCCCTGCTGTTTCACTTGCTCCCCCCCTCCCCTCCTGTGTCTTTGGCCTCCAGAACCACAGCATGTGTCACCTCCCAAGGAGAGCAGTCAGAGCCCCAGCTGTGTATCAGTGTGTGTGTTCAGAATCATGTTCAAGCCACTGCTTTACAAGGTCAGGGGATGCAAATTTATATCGTGAGAGGAAGTCAGGCCAGCTTCATCTCACCAGAGGTTGCTTGGAGGGAAGTGTGCTTCCTGTTTTTCCTACACCTAAAGTGTTGTGTACCTTTACTTCAGGGAGACCAAAAACTCATTGTGACAGT